AACATTTGTAACCTATTCTTATATTCCGTCAATTCATGTAGGCCTTGTGTTAATACCTTGTCAAGATCTGTCAAAAATGTAGCTTTATTATCTAAGGTGGTTGGACTTTGAAGGGAGGCTATTTTGACTCTTCCGACCTTCCTGGGATCTTGCTTGGTTATTAGCCAAAGGATTCATTAGTGATGTTTCCTACTCTTGTAACCTTAGATAAACCTTGTATTTAATGGTTAATATATTATCTGATGTTCCCGATTTTTGGGGCGTCACAGGTAGATCATCAATGATACAACCTTCATCTGGTGTAGCCAAGGCCTGCCCCGGAGTAGATTGAAAGTTGTCGGCATGCCCATGACATGGAATTCCATCTTATGCTCGGATGGATTGATTAGTATGTGGCCCTTGAACGTTCCCATAACATCCCGGCTAGTGTTGTCATAAGCTCGGACGGCTTGGGTTGTGGGCGTGAAATCAGTCGACCCCAAACCTATGGCATAGGCAGTCCGTGCTGGACACACATTGATCACTGATCTAGTATCTACTGACACCACCAGAATCCACTTTTTTCAACTCTTCAGGGTTACATACAAGGGTTGGTTGTGGTTGGCACCCTCTGGTGGCAACTCTTTATCCGTAAAGGATTTCATTGGCGTAACATCCCCTGAGGTGACCAACGACACCAGTTGGTCAATGGTGGTGTCGATGGGCAACTTTGTTCTGTTCATGGCTTCCAACAACGCCTGTATGTTATTGTTAGTTAGGGATTACATACTTTAGTAACATTTTATATTTGGTGTTTTTTTTCCACATAATCAATGGCAGGAAAGCGATATAACAAAGTGGTATACTATAATCGTAGAATAATTAATGATGGGTGCATAATTGCATACGAGGGTCCTGATCCAAAATTGGTACATGTTAATTGAAATTTTTCGTTTATCAATTTTCGCAATCGATTAATTACTATTATAGGGATAGGCCACAATTCTAGGAATATCTTGATTACACACAAATTTCTAGCCTGAAGTTACCTCTATGTAGTTTACTACATATCACTTGAGATCATAGATGATGATGGTTTCGAACGTATATTTGATATAATAGACTTAACTTCAGGTTACAATATTGTCGAGTTGTATATCACTGTAGAACCTATCCATGTGTTTCCCTTCTACTAATGATAATGTTAATGTGCAAGTAGGTACAAGTGGACAAACTCCCATGGGTGTGTATTCCATAAACAATACACGTGGCGACCACTTGGAACCTACTTATTGTACATCTAGAGGTGGTGCTCCTATGGCGATCATTTGGAACCTCTTTACATTGTACCAAACAACGGTGACTTTCTTTGTAAAAAAAATAAATATACAACCACGGTCCACCATTGAGTTGTGTGCAACAACCATATATGTTGTACAATAAATGATTGCAAATGACATCCATGTTCTAGCAAATGATGGTTTTAACTGTGAAGACGATGATGCTGATGAAGAAATTGGTTTGTCAACTAAAGGTAGACAAATTGATACACATGCTTTTCACCATGCCCGATCTTTAATGTTTACCTAAGAAACATGATCAAACTTTAATGATCCCTCCGTACCGTTGGCAGTTGATACCAATAGTATGTGGGATGAAACAAAAGAATTAAGTAAAGGGTTATTGTTCTGAAATAAGGACTTATAAATTGTTGTGAATCGTTATGGCATGAACACTTACCATGTGGTGGTGAAGTCAACAACAAATATGTGGAACCTGCATTGCAAGAATTGGTGCGAATGGAAACTTAGAACTCGTAAGCATGTCAAACATGGTTTATTCGAGATCACTAAATACAAAGGACCTCGCACATGTGTATCTACAATACTTACAAATGATCATGTAATGTTGAGCATAAAGTTGATTGAGCATGAAGTGCGAGATCTTGTGAAGGCAGACCCGTCAATCAAGATCTCTGTACTAAGAGCTAGTATTAGGCAAAAATTTAGTGGTTTCATACCATCTTATGTTAAAAGTTGGAATGCAAAGCAAAAAGCCATTACAAACATCTTTGGGGACTAGGATGAATTGTACCACATATTTTTGAAGTGGATGACGGCTATGATGGATTCCAATCCAGGAACTATCTTTTCATAGAAAACACTATTGTCGGGTGATACAAACAATGTTATATTTGAACGAGTGTTTTGGACATTTGGTTCTTCTATTGAGGGTTTCAAGCATTGCATGCCAGTTATGATATTGTGAATTCTCGATCTTCCAAGTGGGTTTGTGCACGCGCGTGCGCGCGTTTGTGTGATATACATTTCATAGTTACACAACTTGAGAAATTTATCAATTTCAAAACTCAAAAATTTCTTAATTTCTAATTTTTCTTAGTTTATTAATTTTTATTTTCAATTGATTGTTAAATGAATAATTAGGGAATAAGTGATACTAAGAAACTTTCAATTTTTTTGAAATTAGCATTCTCAGTCTTGCTGAAATTGTAAAAATTTCTCTCTTTCTTAAAACTAAGGAATGCGAAACAAAATTTCACATTTTCATCTCAATCTCTCAGTTTTTAAGGATAAAATGTCTTAGTTTAGGGAAACAATTTCACAATTTTTGGGGTGCAGCTTCTCATTTTAGGTATAAAATTGCTTAGTTTTCAAAAACTAACAAAATTCTCACTTTTCTCAAAATTGAAATTCAAAATTTTGGCATTAAATTCAAATTTTAGGCTGAAATTCTCTTTCAATTTCATAATATTCTATCAACAGTTCTCAAACAAGATTAATTTCTATCACAATAAATTGAATTTTAGTTCTCAAATCAATCAAGTGCACATTTGCTAATATTTTCAAAATGGTATTCTCATTTTCAATTCCAAAGGTTTAATTTAAGTTTCTTAATTTTCAATTCATTTATGACAACAAAATTTACAATTGTCCTTTCTCAAATCACATGTCAAACAATTTCCTCATTTTATATATTCTTTACCAATTGTCACCATTTACAAAATCTCTAACGCATGTCACATGCTATAAATAGAGATACATCTCTCAAATACAAAGCGTGGAATCAATAGTTTCATTATAGTTACCAATTCTCCAAAGTTGAGTCTTTTTCAAATTAAAGTATACTCATAATGTAAATATTTAGAAAAATAGATTGAAAAAATATATATATTAAGAAATAACCAACATTTGTTCAAATCCTAAGTGTATACAACTCATGCTCGAAATCTTACACATCATTAGAAATTTTATAAGGAAAATATCAGATGTACATCCATGAAATTCATATTAAAAATAAAATAAAATAAACGCCTTCCTCAAAAAGAGGAGGGCAAACACCGGACAAAGAAAGGAAATAAAGATATATAGTGAGATGAAGTGAAATGAGATTGAAATATGACAAAATACGTTTTTTGAGTATAAAATAATGTGTAGGTCACTCAAATAAACCTTTGGTTCAAAATTTTAGTGTTTAAATTGAAACCTTGGAAGTAAGCTTTTCAATAATTTTGACCTCATATTAGGATTCAAAGTATAGAAAGAGAAAAAAGTAAAATAATACAAACTACTTTAAGATTTATCTAAATTTGAGAGTTTTGATCTAATCTTACCCAAATACCATATTAAGGCATTAATTAAGATTCCAAATATCTAAAATGTGAATAAAATATAATAATTAAAAGTAAGATTGGTTCGGTCCTTACATAATAGTGTTGCATTTATAAAGATATCCATATCCATTTATAGATTTTTTTCGATTGTAGCTTAAATCTTATGGGGATTATAAGGACAATAACTATGTGAAAGAGCATATTACCCTTGTCTGTTAAATTGTCATATATCTTTCCATGCATAAGCTATTTGTCCAAATGTCATCAATTTGTTTATGTGTTACCATCTATCCACCTATCTTTTCACATAATCTTCCTATTTGTCTATCATCACTGCCAATGACTTTTTTAGTAACTTTCTGATGGTGGTGGTTTGTAAGGGTGTAGGGATGTAAGAAAAATTGAAAAAACAACCAAACTGATTGAACAAGATTGAGCCGGCTATACGTGGTTTTTTTTTTTTTTTATAACCAAAATCAGTCTGTTCGATTTTTTTATTTGATTTTCGATTTAGAATCGGTTCAAGCACCTTGTGTACTTAACTAAACTGAAACCGATTACTTCAACATACATTGTATTTATAATATATAATCTAATAATGTAATGACATTATTAAGTATAAGAAATTATTAACTTTATCAACTCTATAACCTAAGTTTGTAAACTCTAATATATAATGTTAACTATAACACATTATTCTTAAAGTCTTAGTATTTTTTAACCTTTTTTTTGTTTGTATTTTTATTAATCTAAGAATTGAAAAGTATTTATTAAATAGATGGATTGGATATATTCGAAATTGTGGACAAATAACTAATTCAACATTTTTTACATACATTAGTGACTATACTAAAAAGTGACCGCATTCTGAAAGGTTTTAAACTGATTAAACACATCGAACCGAATGGTTTTAATCAATTTGGTTCAGTGCAGTTTGATGGGAGAAAGTGATCTGTATCTGTATTTAAAATAATAAAACCGACATTATTGATTCGATGAAATTTTTTATCTAATTACTGATCGTACCGAATTAATTACATTCCTATAAGGATATAACAACGTGAAAATGGAAAATAAAAAATCTTCAACATAATAATTTGTCATTTTAAACAAAACTTTTTATTATCATATTCTAATTTACAAAATAAATCAATCTTGCACCTAATGCCACAAACACCTATTAAAATAAACTTTTCAACAATTTTATAATTAATATGTAAAAAATTACAAATATTTTAAATTAATATTAGGTGGGTGTTTGAAAATTGATTTTTTTAATAGTAATTTTTTACAAAAATAAGTAAAAAAAAGAAATTTAATTTTTTTTTATAATAATTTAAGGTTTTTTTTTGGTTTTTTGTTTGCCCTATTGGGCGTGAAACAAAGGACCCTTACCTGACAAAGAGCACCCACCACACAAGGAAGGGGTTACAGTTGAATCTCGTCTTCCTTCCTCTTAGGTTTCAGCTACCAGCTCCGACCCCCCCGTCCCATCCCACCAGTTCCGACTATACCCTCCTCACATATACATATATTTGTTTATATGGATATATATAATATGATTTCGTGAACCGTTGTAGTTTCGGTTCCCACGTTATGGCGTCCACCGGAGTTTCCACCTACCGAGATCGAACGACTGAGTTCCGATCTCTTTCGGAGACATTGAAGAAGATAGGCGGAGTCGCCGACTCAAACGAATCACAGAACGGCCCGTCGCCCTCGAAACCGCCGGCGACTTCATACCGATCCGAATTCAACAAGAAGGCTTCGCGAATCGGATTGGGCATCCATGAAACCTCTCTCAAGATCGCCAGGCTTTCCAAACGTAATGCTCTCTCTCTCTCTCTCTTGATCACCTCTTTATTCTGAAATTGTTCTTCACATTTTGCTAAAATTGAAATTTCATTGATTAAATGCTAAATGAAATGCGATGATTTGATTTGCTTAGGAAGTAAATAAGCCTTGGCTGACAAATTGACTAGATCCCAATAAAAAATTATTTATCAGTAATTCTAACGGGGAAAACGAAAAACTCCCATTGAACAAAATTGTGTAGGATTTTAAAATTCTGAATGCTAAGGCCTTGTTTGGTAACTTTTTCTGCTTTTGGTTTCGTTTTTTTTTTTTTTTTTTTTTTGGGTTTGAAAATTGGAAATGAAAAATTTGTTTGGTATATTGTTTTTGCTTTGAAAAATATGGTATTCAATCCAAAAATTTTAATTTTTTAAAGCAGAAAATGTGCTTTCACTTATTTTCAAAACAAGTTTGCATTCTCTCCTGCCTTCCCCAGTGCCAGACTGAAGGGGTGGCATAAGGGGCATCATGGCCCCTCCTAAGCTTCAAAATTTGTTTTTAAGTAGGTGTACTAAATTTGACACTTGAATTTGGGTGCTATTAAGAATTGCCCCCAAGGTTTTAAAAAGCAGCCGCAACCATTACGTAACGCCGTTACGTAACGGTTTTGGTGGTTATCGCCACCCGTTATGGCCGCTTTTGCAGTGTGATTGAGATTCATAGGTGTGTCGGTCGTAGCGGTCATAACGGTCTCGTAACAACTTGTTACGCACTGTTACGTAACTGTTCCGAACTGTTTCTTTCGAAAAAACACACAAAAGAAAAGTTGAAAATGGAGGAAGAGGGATAGAGAGAAGAGGGAAAGATAAAGAGAAAAGATGAAGGAGTAAGAGATAGAAAGAGAGAAGAGGAAAGATGAAGAACATGTTATTAATTTGTTGAAACTGTAAGACCTATGCTATACTATTCAGCTGCTAATTGGCCCTCTCGACGGAGGGTCCGAATAAGAAGCCAACTAGCTAATCTAAGCTAATTAAACTAATTATTACAACACAAAACTAATTAAAGTGTGGTCATTATCTATTTGACTTGGTTAAAATATGTATATATATATATATATATATATTTAGACTCTTATTTATTCTTTTCTTTTGTCATTATTTATTTTATATATAATAGCTAGTGATTGATTTTTTTGTATAATATAAAATCATTAATTATTAAAATAAAATATAAAAAACTCAGTTTATAGTGATTTGAAAATATGAAATATATTAGATCATACTTAAAAATTTACAAAAAATGATTAATATTTATTTTAAACCCAATAAATATGATCATAGAAAAAAAATATGCGTATCAGTAAGTTTTTTTTAAATGGTGCGAAAAATAAAAAAATTCACGGTTTTGGTTACCGCAACCGTTACGCTACAGCCTTTACACCCCGCAACCGCAACCGCGCCACCGCCACCGTTACGGCGACCGCAACCGCTTTTCAGAACCTTGATTGCCCCCCTAGCTTTCAAACACAAGCCGAAACTAACTTATGTTTTGTATTATATTTAATTCACATATAATCAACATATATAATAAATTCTACTTATATTAACATGGAAAATTCTTAAGATGCCTAAAACATCACTGTTTTGTTTATTCCCAATGACATGGGTTGTTACGAGTCACTTGTTGATTTGTTTAAGAATTAACCAAGACACAACATCTTGTCATGTTAGTGTGGGTAAATTAAGGGTGATATTTTTGGGTCTCTAGAAGTACTCCATAAAGTATAAAGATTGGTGACTTGTACCAATATATATAGAGAGAGAGAGAGAGAGTAATATTGGAAACCCTTAAAATATCATCTCTAAATTTAGCCACACGGATGTAGTAGGGGTTGGGTCTTAGTTAGTTGATTCCTAAATGAATCTACAATGAGTGTGCAACAATCCATGTCATCGGGGGTAAAAATTTAAGGGTGATGCTTTAAGAGCTTTAAGCATTTCCATGTATATTTATATTGGTGACTCCACCTATGGCCTCCTCAATAGACGTCTAAATAGGAGTTTGTTATTATATCTAGATTGAGGAATTGAAATTAAAAAAAAAGAAGATAGAGTAGAACAAGAAGAGAATTAGTTTGCAACTATAATCATTAGTGTAAAAGGATTTTAAATAACTACTTTTACATTGTTATTTCAAATACGTCATATTCTATCATGAATTCATGGTAAAGCTCTTGAAATCTATACCTAAATTGTCATACTTTTCTGTTAAATCTTTTCATTTTAAATATATAAATCTAAACACAATCTTATTTTTATTTATGATTACTATTGCATACATGTATTTCCTAAAATTTCTTACATGGCAACACGTTATGCGTAATCTATATTGCATCGACTTGGGTACAAGTGTTGGGTGTAGGTGTGTATCTAGAGGTTGGAACCATCAAATCTCAAATTTAAGGGTATGTGGACTCCATAAAAAATTGTCATATCTATATATTTTTAATATATTATAGGAGATAAAATGCGACATTTAGTGTCAAAAATGTATTTTACTCATTTTATAGCAATTATGCTACAATATATACATATAATGATAGTGTTAAATACAAATATATAAGGAGTGTCTGATGAGAAGTATCAAACACATATCCCACACCTTTGTCCCAGCGTCAGGTGTCAAACATAGGTATTTGATTTATTTTGAAGAATCCATGTGACATATTTTGTAATTATGTAAATATAAATATTAACCATGCAATTCGAGCTTTACTTGGGGTGTGTTTGGGTTGAGGATATCGTGTTAAAAGGTCAAGCCTAGATGAGTTACCAATTGTTTGAACGGGTTGCCAAGCCAACCAAACCTGCTCAAGTGCACATTAGTTTGGCCCACCTTATTAGTGATTTTTGGTTCTACCACTACTCCCCCACTACCAATTGCTGCCACTGACCAACCGCCACCACCAGCCATGTCGACCGACCATCAACCCTTCGACGAGCTTTGGCCACCTTCCAACTAGTTTTGACAGTCGAACTGTCACCACACATGATCTTGACACTGGGATTGGCCTTTGCTAGATTTCGAACTTGTTCTTATATATATGTATAAGGGTTATGGTATAAATACCAGTGATGGATTGATGCTTCTAGTAGACAATGACCAGTGTTAGATGACAAGGCAGGGCAACTTGTGTTAGACAAAGAGGCATGGGAGCTTCTAGTTGATGAGGAGGTAAAGTTATCTTGTAGTGACCATTGGGTTTTTGGCTTTTAATAGGAGTTGAAGCTAGATAAATATGTGGCTACTGCTCGCCATTGTTTTTTTTAAAGCTATTGCAATGCATTTATAAAATAACGTAACCAACTTTTTTTGTTTCAAAATTGTGCAAATTTTATAAACTAATTACAATAATTTCTTAACAAAAAAATACCAAACATGATTATATGATAGTTTTCTAAATTCTAAACATAAAAAAAACTATAAACATAAAGTTACCAAATGATCCCTTAGTTTCTTGTTTTTTATAAATAGAAAATAGGAAACTGACAACATTAACAAACGACATCCAAGGTGTGTCACATGATGCTTTAAACACTACTGGATCAATAAGAGATCAAACTATATAATGAATTTTTGTAGTGCCTGTTTGGTAGAGCTTAATTTTAGCTTAACTTAGCTTTTAGATTATTTTGAGTTGTTTTGGTGTGTTTGGTAGAGCTTAAAATCACATTTTGTAGCTTAAATTAAGCCAAAAAAGTAATTTTTGGCTGAGTGGCAGAAGAGGTGCTTTTTTTATTCAGCTTAAGCAGAAAACTAATAATTGATGGGCAAAATTACTTAAATGCCCCTCGTCAATCTCAACTATTATCAAAAACTCAACTATATAAATCCCATATTGTCAAACACTGTTCACTTGAGAGAGAGAGGAGAGGCGATTTCCCGCGATGAGGCGATTTCCGGCAAACAAACTAGAGTTCTCTCTCTCTCTCTCTCTCTCTCTCTCTCTCTCTCTCTCACATGAACTAGAGGCGGTGGCTAGGGCATTATTTGCTCCGTCGCCGCCTCCCATCACCATAGCCATCGACGACATGATCGTGATCTGAAAACCTAACCACGATCACCATCGTGGTTCGTTGCTCTGTTCTCTCTCTGTCTCCGGCATTGGTTTGTCGCCATCGCGATCTGAACCGACGCTGTCGTTGCGATTTACGTTGTTGTTGGTCTCTCTCTCTCTCTTTGTGCCTCTGTTGTTGTCTCCCATCCCCCATCGCGATCGGCCGTGTGAGGCGATCTCAAACCCTAGCGCCGCCATGTCACGGCTGTGACTGCCGGAGCTAGGGTTTTCAGTTTTCCCCCCCCTTTCTGGAGCCAGTGTTTTTTTAATTAAAAAAAATAATAATAATTAAGCATTTTAGCCATTAATGAAATAAATTTTATATTAATTGATACTAATTAATAATTTTAATATTAATTGATACTAATTAAGCCATTAATTGATACTAATTAATTTATAATGAAAAAATGAAATAATTTTATACTAATTGATACTAATAATGAAAACAATAATTTTTGTAATACTAATTATATTAACTTTTATTAGTGAAATAATTTTTTTAAAATTAAAATTGAAAAAAATGATAAAATATTCATTTTTATATCATATAAGGGCAAAAATAACAATTACACAGCAAAAAGTTATTTTACAGCTTATTAACCAAACACTATTCTGTTTCTTAAATCTATAATCTCACAGTTGCACCAAACAGATTAACAGTTTATGTTCACAGCTATAAGTTATAATCTGTTAAGTTATAATCTATAATCACTTTTCCAAAGCTCTACCAAACTGGGCCGTAGTCTCATTGGTGATAGATATGCATGTCTGACTTATAAAAGTGAGATTTTTGTAGTTAATTGAAAAATTGACGATAGTATAAGGTTAGAACTCCAAAGCTGACTTACTGAAAAAGTGAAGAAACTTCAGAGATTTTTGTAGTTAATTGAAAAATGACAATAGTAAAAGCCTAGAAAGGCTTGAAAAATTGAGGTTGTTGAAAATGTTGGAGCCAAAAACAACATTCTACAAATATTGCCTTAGAAAAAAAAAAAAAAAACCTATAAAACTGAACTTGCCTATCCCCTTCCCTTCTATCCACCATCTCTGATGCAGAACAATAGTTTCAAAATTTTTATATTTTAATGGTGTAGAACAAGATTTTTAGAATTTATATTTTTATTATTTTGGAATTTGATTTTTTTGTAATCCATATCGCAATTTTTCTCTCTTCTGTACGAAATAAACTTTAAATTTTTTTTTAATATGTTTTTTTTTTAATCTATACGAACAAGACTGAAAAATATTCTCATTGATTTCGGATTGACAACCATAGGTTTAATACCAATTGACGCATCAGTAATAGAGAAATGGACTAGATATCGTTCTAGAAGATGAGACTCTTGAATTCACAAAAATAACCTTGAATCCACAAAGAAAATAAGACAAACTAGGTGAGATAATAGTGATTGAAAGAATAAGTTACTCATGACTATAGGCTTATACATGTATTTATAATAAGGTAAACTTAATACTTGTAGAATAAGTAATTCTAAAATAAACTAGGAAACTTCAATTAATACAAACTAGAAAACCTATGAGCTATGATACACGGACACGGACACGGACACGGACATGGGACACAACGTGGACACGCGAACACACAAATTTTCAAAAAATGGGGGACACGACAGGCTAGGGACATGCTTAATATAAATAATTTTATATATTTATTATATGTAAAATTTTAAAAAATATATTATTTATTTATTTATTTATATTTATTTATTTACTTTAATATCAAATTTCATTTACAAATTAATTTTTTCCTACAAATAAAAATAATTTATTTTATGTATGTTTAAGTTGAGCAAATAAGAATACTCAAAAAATAGAAAAAAAAAAGAAAAAGAGGAAAGAAAAAAAAGAAGGGTTTTTTTTGTTAATATATATATATATATAAAATATATCAAGGACAGAGGGGAACAAAAAAAAGAATAGAACAGATGAGAGGAAAAAGAGAGACAATCGCGCAGAAAGAAGAGAGAGAGTCCAAGAGGCAAAGTCGATGAGTTCAACACGAGCAAGAGACAAAGTCGAGAGAGAGAGAGAGATGAAGAGAAGAAGAAGAAAAGAAGAAGAATAACAAATTTGAAGAAACAAAGACAGATTCGAAGAACATACCTCGATTTAGGGTTTCAGCAGGTTCTTCTTCACCCTCTATGTGTGTGTGTGTTCAATTAGTTAGGGTTTTTATCTCTCTATATTCAACGGGTTAGGGTTTCTCTCTCTCCGTATTCAATAAGTTAGGGTTTCTCTCTGTGTCTCTAACATGTCCACAATGTGTCCCAAGCATGCCCCAAGCGTGTCCAGCTAGAAAAATTCAAAAAAAAAAAAGGGGGACACGTTAGGTAGAGTATCCAACACGTGTCCACTACGTGTCCGACTCGTGTCCGTGTCCGACACGTTTCGGACACCCATATGTTGCCTTTGGAGAGGTGTCCGTGCTTCATAACCTATGAGAATAGAACTAGAAATTCTAGACCACTCGACAAATTGCTAGTCAAATCAAATTAAAAAATAATAAATATAAAATATGAAAATTCTAAAACTTTGTTCTACATCAATCTCTCTCTCTCTCTCTCTCTCTCTCTTTCAAAATATGCCTCCTTTCCACAGGTGCCTAGCATCCTTTTTGTCTTCTTAGACCAATGAAGTTGAACTCTCTCCGCAGTTAGAACAAAAATTGGCCTTTATCTGCTTTCTTTTCCCCTAAGGTTTTTGTATTGGCCTATACGGTAATTAAAGGTAGATGGATGAAAGATTGTTTCCTCTAGATTTCAATCTCCAGCCTTAAATAGAAGGGGTGTTCCCATTTTTTGACACCCTAAAAGCCATGGACGAGTGATGCAATTCGTAGTGTGACCCAACTTTCACAACATGAAAATTGGTAAAAGGTGCAGTCATTGCCTAATTAAAAATTGCCTTTCTTGTTCTCCATTTTTGATAAACCTATTCTAATGCACAATCACACAATGCACCACACCTTTACAATTATAGCCTCCAAAGGTCTTGCAATCTTAATATAACATAGTCGTTGCCTTATATTTCTTTCCTTTTGTTTTATATTTTTTTCTTTCTTGTTTTTCTTCATTTTGTTTAATTAAGGCTCCCTTACTATGCCTTCCCTGAAAATTTAAAAGGGTTAATTAGTGAAAAGTCCTACTAAATGGTTTTTTAAATGATAAATCATATGAAAAATTTATTAACCCATTTAGTCCCATTTATATAGAATGTTAGGAGATGAAGCCCCATTTTTAAGTTTTTACAATTTTAATGACTATTTTATCCTTGATTTAAATGGTATGTGTCTCATCATGTTTATTATAAAAATAACCATTTCCTTTTTTATTTTATTTTATTGTGGAGATTTGCATGACAATTATAGAGAATTCTCTTATCAACTTGGAAATCTAATAAATATTTAACAAAATCAAAACAAAGTCAGGGATGCTGTTGGGTTTTCTTTTAGTTGATTTCTGGCCAACCATTACCTTTTTGTTCTCTAGATTGTTTTTTCTGCATTTGATTTGATTCTTGTTCATTCTCTTTTCTTTTGAGTGTCTCTGGCTCATCTTTGATGCAGTCTACATTAGCCTTCTTTTATTGATGGTTCACGGTGTTCTTTTGTACTCAATATTTTCATCAATAAAAGTTTTTTCACTGATTATTGAAGTAAAAACTTTAGTAGATATAACAGGCTCTCTTTCCCCTCCCTTGCCAATCTATCTTTTTGGTGTCATTATATTTGACAACATCCACTATAAAATTTCATTGTAAGGCTGACTCCCTCTCCCCTTTCTTGCTGATCTACCTCTTTGCCACTACTGTATTTGACGACCTCCATCACAAAATTTCCCAATAAGGCCAGCTCTTTCTCCCATCCCTATTTCCCCAAAGATTTTTTTGTAGTTGATGTTTTGTATTCTCAGTGTAAAAAAGTGTAAAAGTTTACAATTTCCTGTTGAATATTTTTGTTTTTTCAAAATAAAAAGGGTAAATTTTCACACTTGTTATTGGATGATTTTTATAATTCAAGTGTAAAAAGTGTGAATGTTACATTTTTTATTGAATGATTTAAAAATTTCAGTAATTTAGTAAATTTATTGGTTGAAAATGTAAACTTTCACACTACACAGAAATTCACACTATTTTTTTTTTTTTTTGGGTGTTATTCATAAAATAAAACAAGAGGACAATACACATTTACAAGGGGCATACCCCAGGAAACCATACAGGAACTAAAGACCTGAACAAAAGTTAAAACACCCTATGCTAACATAAACCACTGGACAGACCTAGCCCAGAAGAGGGACTACACCAGCAAGTACCAGAGTTACTACATACATGCTTTAGAGGCACAAAAACAAAATAAACGGGATAACACAACCACAAGCTATCTTATCCCCTTGCATAACCCGCAGGGCTAGGTGGAAAATTTCGGATTGTAAAACATTCATACTTCCATAGAACACACATCTTAGTAAATTCACACAATTTAATTCATTGAAGTGTAAATTTTCACATTTACAGCTTTCAAACTACCTTAAATTCACACTGTCATATAATATATATATATATATATGCAGAAAGGGTCCAAATGGGGTAAGTATTTTAAATATTGTGATTTTCTACTAAAATATAGACTCATTGCCTCTTTTGGCGCTACATTTAAAGTTGGAGATTTTGGTCTTTTGCACAGTTATGGGACTTTTTGGGTTTATAGAATATCTTTAGGACTTAATATGGTACAAGTTCTGCATATAGGACTTTTTGTTAAAAAACCCAATTTAAAACGAAAAAGTTTATCTGCTTTCCTCGATCTTGTAATCAAATGTGGACTGAAGATGTGCCAACTGTCTCTTATGCCTGGCATCACTTTCATTCTTAGTTTTTCTATTTTTTGAATGATTAATGAAGATAAGTTCTAATGCAGAATGGGCCCACACCAATTGTTGGTGGATTTTTAATTTATAATTTGTAATATGTATGTTTATTCATTTAGATAATTAGAGCTAAGTTAGGAGTTTTATTAATATTTAGTTTCTTATTTTTATTAGGACTGCATTGCCAAATAATAATGATTTGCTTTCCTATTTTGATTAGGGGTTTTAGCCTATAACTATGAGGGTTTGTTTTGTATTATTCAACTTTGAGTTAAATGAAGATTGATTGTTAAAAGTTGTGGCCGTGTTAGGGCTGTGGTCCTCTTCTTTCTCTTCTCTCTTCTCTTTCCGTCCGCGTACTACATCAAGTTCGAATTCAAATTTATAGTAAACATGGATGGATTTAGTGAACCTTTCTGATGATATTCTTCTGCATCTCTCTCATGTTGAACATATCAAAAGACATCTTAGAAGACTAAATGATGAACCATTATAGTTTTTTAGTACTGTTCAGGATAATGCTGCAGGTTGTAATCTACATTTTCATTACATGCAGTGGGAAAAAAGTCATCCATTTTTGACGATCCAATTAAGGAAATTCAAGAATTATCTGCCTTCATAAAAGATGACATCACTGCACTTAATGTGGCAGTCTCAGATTTGCAAAACCTTCAAAATGTGGAGATAGCTGATGGGAACTATTCAGAAGATAGAGTTGTTCATTCCACAACTGTTTGTGATGATTTGAAGACCAAACTTATGGGGGCTACAAAACAGTTTCAGGATGTGTTAACTACCAGAACAAAGGTCAGTGCTAAATGGAATGATACTTACGACCTTTTCTAGTTCTCTCTCTCTCTCTCTCTCTCTCTCTCTCTATTCTTTTATCTGCATGTGCTAATGGCCAACTGGGACTTGAACCCTACACCTCTTGTTGGGGTTGGCAGGAGATATCATTCAAACTAATGGCCAGTTGTGGCTTTACTTTTATGTAGTGTTTTTATCATTACCAGTCATCTTCAGCAAAAAATAATTTCCTTTTATTTTCACAGAACATCAAGGCTCATGAAAATAGGAAACAGATATTCTCCACAAATATAGCTAGAGAGAATCCTTTGAGGAATCCCACAAAGGCAGTGACTGAACCAGCTCCGTGGTCAACTTCATCTGGTTCATCAGGGAGTTTGCAACCATCAGTGTACGTTTTTCTATGTATTTATTTTTTCTCATGTACTGTATTAGAATGAAATAAAAAGGAAGAACTGATAGGATCTTAGTTAAGTTGCTTAACGTGGTGTTAGTAAATTAAGTAGAGCCCATGATTTGGATTGCCTGATGTGGATCACAAAGTGCTAGGTTAGTATTTTTACAGTTGCTCAATGGATAGGTCTAATCTAATTCTTTCTCTCTGTTATGCGGCCTACTGTTTGTAAATTTTAATTATCATGGATTTGGGAAGATAGATGTGGAATATGCTTCTCATACAGAAGATTGTAAATTTTGTTGCATACTTTGATGTTTATGATGAATTTGATGAATAGTGTGAAAATGTGGAATCAGTTTACCAGTTAAAGGATTTAATGTGCAATTTAAGGGGGTGTTTGATAACTTGATTCAGCACTTAAAACTAAATGTATAAAGTGATGATCAATTAAGCTCGCTTGATAACCATAATTAATATCACTTAAAAATTTAAGTATGTCTTAAAATATAGACTAAAACTTAATTTTTTTTAAGTCATGAAATTAATGTAATTCTAACTGAATTTATAAATACTAAATATAAATATTGACACTATTATAAATTCATTACCATGATCACCACCACCATCATGCCACCACTAGCACTATCACTACCACCAAGCCACCGAAGATAGATGTGGAATATGCTTCTCATACAGAAGATTGTAAATTTTGTTGCATACTTTGATGTTTATGATGAATTTGATGAATAGTGTGAAAATGTGGAATCAGTTTACCAGTTAAAGGATTTAATGTGCAATTTAAGGGGGTGTTTGATAACTTGATTCAGCACTTAAAACTAAATGCATAAAGTGATGATCAATTAAGCTCGCTTGATAACCATAATTAATATTACTTAAAAATTTAAGTATCTCTTAAAATATAGACTAAAACTTAATTTTTTTTTAAGTCATGAAATTAACGTAATTCTGACTGAATTTATAAATACTAAATATAAATATGGACACTATTATAAATTCATTACCATGATCACCACCACCATCATGCCACCACCAGCACTATCACTACCACCAAGCCACCACCATGACCACCACTACCACCACCACCTTCATCACCATTATTATTGTTGTCATAAGCAACACCATTACTTTACTATCACTACCATCACTACTGCTACCACAACCACCACCGCCCTCAACTCCACCGCTACCACTACTATCACCACCACCACCACCATCACAATATAAAAGTTGAAATATATAATTTAAAAACAATAAATTTCAAATTTGATTTTATACATATCAAACAACTTATTTTTAGTTCAACACTCGATTTTTTATCGAACAACTTTTTAGCTTAAAAAACTCAGCATTCAGTTTTCAATAATTTTCAGTCTTTAATTTTCACTTTTCAGTTTTCAGCTTTATTAAACACCACCTAAGTCTTGTTTGTATTGTGGGGGATCTTATTTACTAGAGTTGTCAGTATGTTCTAAAGCTTTCATGGTTATCATGCATCCATGGCTATATTGTTAGAATGTAAGTTTATTGCATCATCTACTTCAGTTTTCTTTAACAGATATGCAAATTCATCACACATATATCCATGGATCTTTAAATGTAAAGAATGAAATGTGCATGCATTAAAGTCTTGTATGGTCTTTGGCTCATAGGAAGCTCACTACCAATGACGTGTTTCAAAAGAGGAAACCTAATTGCAATTTACATCCACAATGGTGCATAATGTGTAAGAGGAACTCAATGTATTGATCATCTATTTTTACGTTGTCCTGTGGCTTTGGCATTGTGGTTTCATCTTTTTCGATTGGCAGAGGTTAATTGGGTAATTCTGGCTTCTTGTTTCTATATGCTAACTAATGGTTATAGAGGATTTGGTTCCACTTAGAGGGCCTACGTTTTTTGGAATAGCGTCATCTGTGCCGTGCTTTGGGTTCTTTGGAAGGAAAGAAATGTGAGAATTTTTCACGATAAGGTTCAAGATGTTGAAGATTTATAGGAGAAGATTTGTTATTTGTCATCCTTTTAGGTCTCGATTGCATCTCCTTTCAAAGGGATTCCTTTGTTTTTAATTTCTAGAGATTGGGAGGCTGTTTGTTTGTAATTTGTTTTTTCCCCCTTTGGAGGACTTCTTGTCCTCCCCTAAGCACTTTGTATCTTTTTCTCTTCTCTTTTTAATAAATTTTATATGTTGCTAATAAAAAATAAGAAGACAAGGGAATTGTAGAGGCAACCAAGTGTAATATACCTTTCTCTGATTTCTACTTTGATCTATTAGCTTATGCTTTTAGATTACCTACACGTGATTGTACATTTTGTTTCGTTGTATTAATTATAGAAAGGTTCTTGTCTAATCCATGAGTGTTTATCTCATCTGTATAGTTCTGTGCATTGTACGCACTACAACCATATATATATGTATATATATATATTATTACTAAAGGAACATATTAAAAGGGCACCAAAAGGGAACAAAAATATAAAAATCTGCTGATGTTAAATTGTCTTCAAATTTCTCTTTTTATGGGTTTCTTGGCTGATTGTCTTCCGTAGTTCTGGTGCTATAATCTAGCATCAAGTTCATTGAATGTGTTTTGTTTTGTGAATCTGTATATTCTTCTTAACTTTCTGCTCCCCCTCTTCTTTTATCAGATCACCATCAAATGGAGTTCAAGTTGGCAGCCAACTGAGGTGAGTTCTTCGTCACTTCATATGATTTTGACCGTCATATTTTTCTGTCTATCTCAATCATATTTCTAGTGAAGTTTCTTGTAGGCAACATTCCTTTATTATTTTAAACTACTTCAATTCAGATATATTGTTTGCATGTTGAAACTTTTGACAACTGATGAAGGACTATGTTTTAAACCTCTTGAAGCTCTAAATCAGTCTCTAAGATTGGGCAAGGCATAATTCCCATGAAGGAGACTATACCTTGACTAACTCTATTTTCTAAACCATCTAGCTAAATGAACCATATGATCTTGCACATAGGGTAAACATGACCAAGTGGGTCATGGGGCTGCACAAAGGTTGCACCATGACCACATATTGAGCTCATAGAGCTCACTAGACCCTGCTTTTGACTTGGAAAGCATTGACATGTTAGGGTTCATAATAGGTGGCTGAGTCACTGGATAGTATGATTATATAGTGCCAATATGTTGTGAACATATGGGGAGTGTAGGAAATAATAATACGCAGCGGAAAAACGGATTCAGGTTACCTTTGATGCTGAAATTGAATCTATGGATCATACAGGTGAATCATGTACTTTTAATGATGAACTTGAACCTTTCCTAGCAATACGGTACAACTATTAGAGAACTACCCACACTATTCATAGTATGGAGGTGTGATTTGTACTCTAATGGTAGAAAGTTAGAGAGAAAAGATGGAGAGAGATTTTCTGGTCTTACAAAATACATAATATGTATCTGTATTATTTTGAGGATAACCACTAACAAATTTATCTCATTACAAGATGAGATGTGGGTTGTTCGCACTTATCCCTAAGGTAAGGTGGTTTGAGATTCAAACTAATAGGGTTTCTCAATGGGTTATGGGCCGTGCCACCATGGGCGTCTAGACCTTGATACAAGGCCCGACCTGATTTCCAACATCTTCTATTTGTACATGAGTTGGCATGACACTACTACATCTCTATTTCTATCTACCCCAAACATCGAACAAACTCGTACTTGCCAATGGACCGTGTGTTCACTGAGAACACTTGCATGTGGGAGCTCTATACTAGAAACCTATGAAGCATGTGTATGGGCATGTCGATATGATAAAATCTAAAAATATAGGGTACGGATACGGCTTGATACATTTGTTAAAAAATATTTATTTTTAATTTGGAATAACGCAAAAAATAGTTAAATGGTTTAGTTTGTTAATATCCAACCTAATTTACATTTAATGACAAAAAGTAAATGTATAAATCAAAATTAAATATTATTATATTAAGTAACTTACAAACCATAACTTAATTTTAAAATCATGATGTGCATTAAAATAAATAAATAAATAAAGTCCAATGAAACTAATTTTACCTCTGGATTAGAAGAAAATATTGTTGATTGAGGTATGGTATGGCTTTAGTATACACTAGGCATGTTTGCGGTACAACAAAAATAAGAAGAAAAAAGTTTATACGTGTTTTGTATATTCGATACATATGCAGAAGTATCATATGAAGTACCGATACCTACTAAGTACCCTGTATGGATACGCCATGTTTGTTGTAGTACTCGTGCTTCATAGCTAGAAACTAAAAAATGAGTCAACATACAGACATCAACCCAAAGATTAAAGTAGTGTCTCATATATCCCAGACCTCTCTAGTTACACCTGTCCAAGCATCTTTAACACCTCAGAGCATGTGTGACCCTCACACATCATGCAATATATTCAGACTCAATTTGCCTCCCATACATAGCGATGTGAGTGCTGGCAGTGAATATACAACAGAAGTGTAATAATAGATGATCTTCCTTTTGCCCTCATGTCATTTAGTTTAGGTTTAACCGTTTTCTCAGTGATGTTTCTTAAATCCAAATCATATATAACTGCAAACATACTAAAGTAGTCGAACGTCAACCTCTCACCTTATGACATAGTCAAAGATCACAAAGTGAAAGTCATATCAATAATGACATCTAAGACTCTCAGTGAGGCAATAGGGATCCATTCTCTCACCTCATTACTCGGCGACAAGCACATGTGATATGAATACATGCTACGGTGTAGTAACTCTTCCAAAGTGTGATGTCATACTTTATATACCATACAAATCTTAGTCTAGTAACTCTTAAGCGCACAAGTCGCTTTTTTACGCCTAACCTGAATTTTCTATTTGCTCGCCTGCTAGGTGCCAAATGACATCTCATCCGTGGCTAATCATAATAGGCACAACATCAGAAATGAATACCAACATCTATGTTTGATCTCTAATACGCCCTTATCTTGGCTCCAACCACGGTGACATAGATAGTAAGTCATTTATGCCTTTCTTGGCTGCAAACAAAATAAACTACTAGTCTCATCCTTGCTCACTATCCAATGCTAAGGGCGATTACTCGTGTGTGTGAGTCAATCTTGCTTGCTGACATCATCATTTGCTATTCATTATGCCACAAACCATAATAATAGAATAGCATTAATATCCCGTCATATCATAAAAACAAGCAATCAATTTGAAAAACATAACCGCAGTTTATGCAATTCTATATTCCAAATATAAGCCCAATCAGCACCTCTTGTGATAGGCATATACAACAAAATTTACCATGTGGGCCTCACATGAAGTAGTTTAGGATCACTACCTCTTGTGCAACTGCTTCTTTGAAGACTTTTAGTGACCAATTTGTGTTCATTCAAGGTGCACAAGCGCAAATGAATCCAACAAGGAGCAAATTTATACACTTAGAACATCCTATCTACAAGCTCTCTGTGCTAGCATAATATCCTCTAGACTGCATCTAATGAGCAAGATCATAGTCTAAACTACTCTCAGCTGACCATTCACAATAAATAACACTCATCATGTCGAATACGCCCTGTAGCATACTTTAGGCAATCCACAACGCTAGATCACAACACAAGATCAAAGAATATAGGCCATATAATTCTCTTTGAGACAGTCTAAGGATTCATGTCAATGGCTCAGGCTCCAGCTTTCACCGATAGGTAAGTTAATAGTTTTGCAATTTTGCATCAAGAATCACTCTAGGATATTTGTTATGTAAGTCATTAATGAAAAACCGAGAAGTCTCTTAGAACAATCTCTAAGGATCTCATATCCGAGCATATGGCTTGCATCACCTATGTCTATCGTGTCTAAAACAGAGGGTTGTCATCCCTAGGCGGCGACTTATGTTACATGGACTCGGAGTATGAGTATCGGGTTCGGGTGTGTATTCAAGCATCACACTTTCATAAATTTAAATATTAGGATCTTGGAATATATATCCAAAATTGAATATGGGTACGGGGATGCGTCATATACACGTCTTGGATAAAATGTTGTAAATTATATAGAAATATACTTGAAATTGCATAGGATTCAGGAAAAACATAAAATTTCTATATATAATTCATGTGAGAGGCTAAAAATATTACTTTACTGCAAATGTGAGTTTCTACTTCTCATATATTGTAACAAATTAAAGGATCCAAGTATCTAAATTGGGTACGAGTGTTGGACACATTCCACATCCTTACCCATGTCATATTCGGTGGACACGAGTACTGTGGGGGAAATAGAAGAGTCCATGTAACACAGGTGGCGACAACCATTTTAAATTTTCTAGCTCACAATGATAGAATAAGTGAACTTTCTATGGACCATTGATCATTCTTGAGTGGTCTTCATTGGTCATCGTTAGCCCAAAATGGCTCAATGTAATATGAGAACTACTATATGGATGGCTGCTTTAGGCCATAAAGGTTTATTGGAGCTCTTGTGCCTCAAGTGACAATTATCGAAATTTAATATAATTCTTGCGCAAAATTTTCATTTTTGGGAGTACTATCTATAAAGATTTTTTCACACCAAACGACCTCCCACTACTCAGGGCATGTCTAATGCATGATAACATGTTTAATTTCATATACTAGCATCTCAATATGAATTCACAATAGAAAATGTGCTAAATATAATTTAATCATGAAATTAAATTAAAAGGAAAATACAAATCATGCTATTGGATTACAAGATGTTATTATATGTTATTAGTATATATAAAAAAAAAAAAAACCTTAACATGCTGTAAATAATATTCCAAATTATGCGATAAATAATTTCAACAATTTATTAATTTTCTTGAATTTCAAGTAATTAATAAATATTCAAAAAATCAAAAATAAATATTACATAATTTGAAATAGTACACTACCTATACCAGTAACTAGGTAATCATCATAGTAGTTTACAGTAAAATTTTCAAGTCCATAAGCCAAGACATGCTCTCTGACGGGCATTTTAAAGTAAAAATATCGAATTATTAACTCATGGAAAATATTTTTATTTTTCAAAAAATTTTGAAACTTTTTCAGCAGACAGAAAATACAATTCTGAGTTCAACGGTACCAATCACGCTCAAAACGGAGTCCAAACAAGTCCTATAGAGCGATTTAAAGTAGTTTTGCATTAAAAAAAATCCAAACAATGCACACGCATGTGGCTGGCGAGCAAGGCGCGTGTGCTTGCACAGTTAGCTCATGGTATCACGTGGTGCACATGTGAGGTCTCCAGCTGGAGCGTGAGATGCACAGCTGGTGGGTGCTAGTGTGTGGCACATGTATGAGGGTACGACGGCTGCTCTGTGTGTGGTACACACATGCTGCCGCCCAAGCCTCTGTTGGCAACAAAATTGGTATTGCGCAACTCAATTTTTTGAGAGGAATCAAATGGTGGTTTTGGTTTTGGCATTCAACAACTCTAACATAGAGAGTGTATTCCACTCTCTCAAGGGTGAGACTGGAAATGCCATCTTTGCACTTTATCTTCTCTAACAAACCTTCGAGGCTTCAACACTTACCCAAATTTGTGTTTGGGCTTGGGTTTTCTTCTCAATCGTAAGTTGAAATCATGCAAATAATATACCTTTTCAAAGTTCTTGAAACAAGGATTTGGTGTGGCTGGGGCAGAGACAGAGCTTCATTCACATGAAGTTCTAGAGAGT